CGCAGGCGCAGCACCTCCGCGATGGTGGCGTGGAGCAAGGGCAGCCGCGCGCGGTCCTTGTACGGGACTCGGGGGCCCCAGGCCCCGGGGCCCAGCTCGCGGTCCAGCTCCTCCTGCAGTCGCTGCTGAACCTGGGAAATGGGGGCAAGCCTAGCGCAGAGCCCAGCCCTGCCCAGGGCACCTGCAGCAGCCTTTGTGCCGAGCGGGAGGAGCCCCGTCCCCACCCCAAGCTAGCGCGGCCTGCGCCAGGGTGAGGGACAGGTGCCGGGAGCAGCCCGCCCCCGGGCACACCTCAGGGTGGTGAAGCAGGAACGCCACAGCCCAGGAGAGGGTGGTCGACGTGGTCTCAGTGCCACCGATGAAAAGGTCCACCACAGACATATGCACGTGCCCCTCGAGGAGCTGCCCAGGGCCCGCCTCGGCGCTCGGCTCCCCCACGCCCTGGAGCATGTAGTCCAGCATGTCCCTCCAGCGGCCTGCCACCATGCTCTCCTGGGGGGAGGCCAGCCTGAGCCCCTGGCCGCTGAGAGGGGAGAGGGTCCCGGGCGCAACAGCCCAGGAGCCGGTGGCCGCCCGGCAACGGCCCAGCTCTGGGCAGTCCCGTGGCTGCTGTGGGCTGGCCCCCCAGAGCCCACCTTGTGCTGCCGCAGCTGCTCCTCCACAATGTGGTCCCTGTTCTCCAGAGCCTGCTTCAGCCGCCAGAGGCCGGGATTGGGGAAGAACTGGGCAGGGAGCAAGAGAGTGCAGCTGCTGGGAAGGAAGCCTGTCCCCCACCCGCGCCCAGGAGCTCCCCCTCCTCACCCTGAGAAAGGGAACAATGTCCAAAATTTGGATGGACCAGTGGTCCCAGGTTTTCATCAGGTCCTGGACACAGTTGTGAAAGAGATGCACTACGGTATCTTCCTGCCAGAGGAAGGAGTCCTTTTAGCTCAGGACAAGTCGGGGCCAGGGAGAGGCTGAGGGGTGGGCCCAAGCAAATGTGAGCATGAGGGAGCCTTGACCTGCTCTCCAAAGGTGAGGTAGCAGATGATGCTGCAGGTGAGGAACGAGAATTCCTTCTGGATGGCCACCGGGGCACCGGCCTGGGCTCTCATGCGCTGTGGAGAAAACGAACTAAACAGGCCAGGGCTGCTGGGATAGGTGAGGCCGAGCTGGGTGGCTGTGGTGTCCAGCCTACCTCACAGAACTTCTGGGTCAGCTGCTCCACCACAGGCTCCATGGCGCTGCGCATGCCCAACAGCAGGGCCGAGCGGGTGAGCTTCTTGTGGGCCTTCCAGAGCAGGGAATAGTCCCCTAGTGAGAGGTCCTGGGCACACGGAGACACCAGCTTGTCTGCAAGGAGGGGTGAGGTCAAACATCCCAGAAGCCACACCTGCCTCCCCTGCCTCCCCCAGCCCCAGCTTCTCCCCACCCCTTACAGGATGGTATCTGGGGTCTGCCGGCGAAGTCCACCCACTTCTTGACCATGGCCTCCTCAATGGTCCTCTTAGAGTTCAGCACCACCACGTCTGGGGAGCGCCAGAGCAGAATGTCAGTAGGGGGTGCACCCGCGTCCCACTGTGGCTGGGCAGGCCGGGAGCAGGCACTCACTTTGCAGCCCCAGGCGGAGCCTGTAGATGGGCCCCAGTTTCTGAGCCAGGCCAAGCAGATAAATGGGGAGGTTGGGCTGCAGCAGGTGCAGGAAGCCAGGGGCAAGAGGTGGGAGATGGAGGCTCCTGAGCTTCCACTGGCCCCACAGCAGGCGGGCGCCGGCCAGCAGGGTCAGTAGCAGAAGCCCAAGGAGCAACATGGCTGGAAACCTGTGCCAAGGCCCCGGTCAGGCCACTTATAGCTCTGGGGGCCCCACCATCCATCTTGCTGCTCGGACTGTTCTGGGGGCTCCCTTGACTCCTTCCCTCAGGCCCCTGCCCAATGTCCCGCCCACAGGATAGCACATTCTTGGAATGGCAGCAGGCCCATTGGCCTTGGGGTGTCCATATTTCAAACAACAGGCCTTTCTTCTTCCATCCATCAAGAAGAAAGGAAGGAAAGGGCAACCCTGACCTTTCTCCCACAGCCAGCATCAGCCATGCAGGAGAATGTGTCCACATTCTGGCCCCAGCCCTTCCCCACTGCCACCACCCTGGGAGTAGCTGACGGCTGCAGAGTTTGTCTCCAAGGGAAAACGGCAGCCAAAAAATGAGATGAAAGTGATCTATGTGTTGTTCTAATGCACAGATGGGTGACCAGGTGGCTGGGTTTGCCTGGGTTTTCCCACCTTATACCTGTAGTCCCGTGTAATTATTATCAGTGCTCCATTTCACTCCCAAAAGTTGACGATGAAGAATTATATGGTCCCCAATTTGGAACTCTTACCATGTGCCTGATACTTTTTGGTCGCAAGAAAAAGAGACCAATTTGAGGGACTTACGCAAAAATCAGAATTGTTATATGAATACCAGGCATATCTCAGAACCTGGCAGGAGCCAGGTATAGGGAGTGTGGAGGGCCCTGGAGATAGGCTGTTTCCTCTCCATTCCTCCTGACCTGTGGCCCAGCAGCATGTGGGCATGTGCTAGGGTGCAGGCAGAACAGGATTGCCTTTGGGGTGAGAGTCCACAGGTTATAGGTCCAGCCAAGGGCAAGTGGGGCTTCCCAGCACAACTCAGCATGGCCCTCGTGATGCCAAAGTCCCCAAGAAGGAGCTCAATAGCCACAGCTGGGGTCAGGGGTCAAGCCCTATCCTGGGAGTTGTAGCCATAGAGGGGGTCCCACTGAACCAAGAAGGACTACCAGGGACCAGTTCTATGGGTGAGGAGGCAGTTGAGGGCCTTAGAGGGTCTTGGGGAGAGACCATGCCTAAGAGGAGGGGCATAGTTCCCTGAGAGGTTAGGGCCTCCTGGGGGTTAAGGGCTTGGAGGTGACACAAGGCCCATGCCTCCCTTAATTCCTCATCCCTGGCTCTGTGAACTGACACCAGCACCCAGGGGTGGAGGGTCCTCCCCTCAGAGCTTTGCCCAGAGAACAGGCTGTGCCGCTGGAGAGCCTGAGTTGAGGTCCCAGTTGTCCCACCCACTAGCGTGGAGAGTTAACTGTGGGGTTGGGTGGAAGAGCTCGGGCTCCACGCGGATCCATGCCGGGGATGGGAGAGCACTGGCTGGGGCTTCTGGGCTTGGGCAGCAAACACCGCCACCTTGCTCAGACTTAGGCTGGGTCTTGCCACAGCTGCTGCTGAATCCTTGGCTCTCATAAACGGGTTCATGCCATCGGCATGGTGCCAGCTTTGGGAAATGAGACTGATGGGCAAGCACAGGGCATGTAAACCGCAGCCCCAGGCAGCCTCTGAAGCACTGGGAATGGTCGGAGCTTCTTCAAGTTGTGTGGACCAGGAGGGGGACTCCATTCGAAAGGAGCGACTGAAAAACTGGCCTGCTTGTGAACATCTCTTCATAAACTGAGTCCAGTCCCATCTCTTCCAGCCCTCCACCCCCCCTCCACCCCCCAATCCAAATTCTGACAAATGAGTCACATGCAGGGCCCTGAATGTGCTGTCCTGCCCTGGCCATGGGCCTCTCGTAATTCTTTCTTTTGCCTCAAACACCCTCATCTAAACGCTCTTTTCCTGAATCCTCAGCCTTCAGAACCTAACTTGGGTGTCACCTCCTCCAGGAAGCCTTCCCTGCCCCCTTCTCCCGTTCCCCCAGGCTAGGTCAGATGCCCCAACCATGTGCCCACAGGACCACAGCTCCCCATCACTCCTCAGATGGGGACCTGGCATATAGAGCATGGAGTGAGGGTTCCACAAATTTCTTTTGAATGATTGAATGGCAGGCTGCTGGACTGTCTCAGAAAATTTCTCAATGGATTTCTAGGTCAGCCCTTAAGACCCAAGGGGTGTTATCAAATGGTGGGGAGCTGGGTAGGCAGGTGGAGAGGGTTGACCTCAGTAGAACAGTCTTCAGAGTACTAACAAACACAACAAAGGCAGCCTTTTGGCTTGTTTAAAGTCAGTACGGGGAAGGGAGCAACAACAGACCTGGGGATTATGTAACTCGGGATGTTTCCTAACACCACTGATAACAGGTCAAGGGTCAACAGGCTTTCAACAGACCAGGTCTCAGCTAAAAGCAATAGCCCCCAGACCTTCCAACTGTGCCAGGACAGAACGGGAGACACGGGCCAGACAGCTGCTTCTGAGGCAGAAGAGCCAGGTGTAAGCTGAGCACAGGCCCTGCCTGAGGCCGCAGTGCCTGGCCCACCGGCTACACCAGGCAGTGGGGTGCCCTGCAGGCACAGCGAAGGCAGGCCTTGGTGTGGACGCTGGGTCCTCAGGGTGCAGGCTGTTGGGTCACAAGTCTGTTCAGGTGGTCCTAGGACAGGCTGAGCTCCCAGTGAGTCATCTGGGAGGGGTGAGGCACCCAAGGGTCATCCGGCCTCTGAGAGCCTGAGATTACGCAAACCCTGGCCTGGGTGCCCAGGACCCAGAAGGCATCGGGGGAGGGGGCACGCTGTTGCTCTCAGTCCTGGAGACACATACTGACACTTGGCTGTTAAAAGGTCTTTATTGAGTCTCTGGCCCTGCCTTGAGGCTTATCCAGGCATCACCTATCCAGGCTCCTCCTGGGGGAAGGAGAGAGCAGCCCTCAAACCTGGCACCCCTGGGTGCCATACTCCTGCAGGAAGCTGCGGAGCTGGGCACAGGCTGCCCGCTGGCGGGTGCTCCGGCACAAGCGTTCAGAGGGCATCTCCTCAATCCAGCTGTTCGAGTCCAGCAGGTACTGGGGTCTGTGGGGACAAAGGGCAGTCAGTCAGGGTCAGGAAGATGGGCAGACAGGAGAGGAGAGCACGGGGCACCTGGCTTTGAGGGGCAGGGCCTAGGCACTGGGGATCCACTCCCTCACAAGGTGTGAGAACAGCAAGAGACCCAGGGACTCAGAGAACTCACTGTCCGTTGAGGTCATGGGTGGCCCCATCCAGACCCATGATCAAATATTCTTTTCCAGGTTCCAAGCGAAGGCGGCAAGAGGCTCGAACCAGAAAGTTTCGGGTCTGACCAGCAGTGGCTTTGGTGTCTTTGGCTGAGGGGAGATGGGTGCAAGAGCTGTCAGAGGGGCAGAGGAGGGGCAGGGCCAGCACTGGGCCAGGGGCGCTGCACACCCTCCCACTGAACCCTGCTGCTTTCCCGGGACAACAAGCCCAGAGCTTCTGAGAGGCAGGGGGGTCTAAGCTCAGGCTCTTCTGAATTTTTACTGTTCCAGGCGGCCAGGCCCCAGACCCAGACCTCAGCTCCTCTACCCCCAAGCCTGTCCACCCGCCCGACCCTTCATACAGAAGTGCAGGACTTGGGTGACACTGGTCTCGAAGAGGCGGAAAGCAGCTCTGGAATCTTCTCTGAGAACCTTCACCTGGAAGCCTGAGGGAGTTTAGGGGAAGGAGAAGAAGGTGAGTTACCCGGGGCTGCCTGAGGGACTGAGAAGGGCAAGCTCACCCCAAGACCGTGAGGGCAGACCAGCAGGCAGGCGACTGACCGTAGTCCACTCGGGGGTAGTAGCAGGCGAACCGCATCCGGTAGCCATCCTCCTCCATCTGCCCGCGCTCCAGGGCGCGCCGCTGCCTCGGGCACTTCCCTGAAGCCAGGCGCAGTGAGACAAGGTCTGCCCAGCGGGCCCTTTCCCACCTGCCCCCAGGCCCCAGGCCTCACCCTCGGCACACTGGCAGACATCAGCGGAGCACAATGTGGACAAGAGTTTGCTCTTAGTCGGTGCTCCGTAAAACACAGAACACTTGCGCTCTGGAGAAAAGTAGAGAGGGAAGTTAAGGCATGTGCCACAGGACCTCCTGCCATACTCTACCGCCCCAGCTCCTGATGTCCCAAACCTCCCGGGTGTCCCCCCCTTCCCCCAGAGTGCTCACCAGGGTTGTAGTAGTCGTACAGGGCCGCGCTGGCCGGCTGAACCAGCCCCACGGCCACCTCCTGCACAGCTCCAAAGCCCACGCACTCCCGAGAGGTGGGGACCTGCCATGGCGGGTGGGGGGAGGTCAGGGACCCACGCCCTGGGCCCTACAGGCCACTGTGTTACATTTCCTTGGCCTGTCTCTGATGCCCGCTGGTCTCATCTTCACTGTCCTTCACATTTTGTTACCTTCCGGCCACCAGAACTCTAAAAATTGCTCCCAAGGTCTCTGCTGACCTCACTGCCCAGATGGTGACCTCACCCAGTCTCTGGCCCCAAGCACCCCTGCAGTCTCACATCATGGACACACTCTCCATGAACTCTCCCTACGCTCAGGGTTAGCTCTGGGCCATTCCTGCCTGAGCTGGTTGTTTCTGATATTCCCTCTGCCTTCCTCTGTGCCCCTACGAGGATCTCAGCCACTCCCTGGTTTCACCAGCCCCCTCCAGGCTGATTTCCAAATAAAACTTTCAGCCATATTCCTCCAGTAGGATTTCTGCAGGATGTATAAATTCTCCAAATTCACTCTGCCTGCTCCCCAAACCCACTCACCCTCCTGACAGCTTCACTGTATCTCTGATACAACTATGACCTCCTTTATCTGCCACAACTAAGGGCAGCTGCTATTTTCTGGGACCCTGCTGCTCACATTCAGGCCCAGTGCCTCTTCTCATGGCCACGCTGTGCAGTGCAGCTGGCACCTGCCACCCTCCCCTCAGCTGGGCTGCTGCATGGTTGGCTCCTTCTTTCCCACTGTGTTTAAACAGACTCCCCCGCCTGGCTTCCCAGCTAACAGGGTGTGGCCCCTTTGCACATACTGGGGAGGGGTCTTTCCTGACCCACACACCTGGCCAATGTGTTACTGTACAACCATGCCTTTTACACATGTTCTCCAAGAGGTTATAGTAAATGTTCCTAAGTTTTTGAGGCCATCAGAGGGTTAACTCTTTGTTTTAGCCACATAGGCTACAAAGATAAAAACAACTCATCTATCAACATCACTTTATAGAAGTAAAAAAAACTAGGAAGGTCAATAAAAAGGAAAAATCAAAGCAAATCCTCAGGTTAAATACATTCAGCTTTGTGACAGGCTCGCTCTCAGGCCGTCCCATGCTGACTGGCACTGGCCCCTCAAATCGCATTAGGGGCTCGGCCCCTGCCTGCCTGCAGGCATGGCTTCCCTGGTGTCCCCCCCACCTCACCCCCCGTAACTTGGCTCTGGCTCCCTCTTGTCCCATCTCCCTGCTCACGTAAGGTTCTCCCTGGGAGCACTGGCTGGCTTCAGTGCCTCCTGGGGAACCTCAGAATACATGCTCAGGAAGCAATACCATCCCTGCCCTGCGTCGTCTACCCTGCTCACCGAGTCGAAGTACAGCAGGACGTGGGGCCCCTCGGTCTCAAAGTGACTCACATAACGGTCAGAGAGGGAAGTCAGCTGCAAAGAAGAAGACGGTTGCAGGGCCCTGCAGCTGGCGGGGCTGTAGGGGTGGAACGGGGCTCCCTAGGGCTCAGGCCATACCTTTTCCAGGTCAGCTCGCAGGGCGTGGAAACCACTCAGGAGGGTGATGTCCGCAATGGCCATGCCTGACAGCCCCACCTTGCCGTTCCGCCTGCAGAGACATGCCCCGTGGTCAGGTGCCCCATCGCCGGCTACCAGAGCCCGCCTAGCCCAGCCTGGCCCAGCCCCTCAGACCCACCAGATGCACACGGTGTACTGCACCCTGGACTCCTGCTCATCGGCCACCTTGGGTGCCTCCCGTCTGCGGCGGCTCCTCCGCCCCTCAAACACCTGCAGGGGTGTCACGGGCTGGGAAAGGGCCCCCGGGTCGTCGCCAGCGGGACCCAGGCTCTCGGAGTACTCCTCATCCCCATAGTCCTCCTCGTAGTCCTCGCTGGCTGCCACTGCAGCAGGGTAGAACTGAGACTCGGCCCCTGGCACCAGCCCGAGGACCCCATGCCTCCGACCCCAACACTCACTTGTGTACTCAACATGGCCCATGACCGTCACCTCAATCTGAAGATCCTGGCAGGTCGTGTTCTTCATGTCCAGGACATTGTAGGTGCGAAGGACCTGGCTCAGCAAGTTACACGGAGAGAACATGACACATTTGAGGCCACAGACCTCCCTCCAGAGCCACACCTAAGGGAATCTCCCTGGGCTAAGGGCTTTGAGGCCTTTGGCCCCTCCCCATCTCCTTCCTGACCGATCCGTAAATATGAATGGCCCGGTGTGGGCTGGACGGTGAGGCAGGGGCAGCAGGGCCTGCCCTGGGGACCCTACGCCGTGCAGAGGAGACTGCGATGGGAAGTCTGGGACAGGCCTCTGGCAGAGGCTTGAAGGAGGAGAATGAGTTTGCCTCATGGGAAAACAAGCAGGGGGAGGACATTCAAGGCAAGGAGCCCTGTAGGTGGGTACCCCAGTCAGGCCAGGGAGGTGGGCAGGGACCTGACCGTGTGCAGTGTGGAAGAGTCTGAAGGCTGTTCTGACCAGTGTCCTCAGAAGGTCAGTCTCACTGCACTGTGACAGGGCTCAGAGCGGGGAGACACAGGCGTGCATGGGAGAAGTCCAAGACTGTCTCAGCCCCGAGTCCAGTGAACAAGTGACGAGGGCCCCAGGCATTAGGGGACAGAGTAGTAGTTACTGGGGCCATAAGAGGGGGGAGTGGGGGTACTGAAGCACCTCCAGAGTGGCAGCTGGGGGGGAAGGAGGAAAAAGAGGCCTGTGGCTCAGGTGTGTGAGCCCAGCACTGAGGGTAAAGGAGCCAGTAGTGCCCAGGGAGGGTGGACACCAGAGTGAAAGGAGAGCACCCAGGACAGAGGGTGGAACACCAGCCCTGGGTGTCTTCCTCCTCTGACCCTGAGCTCTGCCCAAGGTCTCCCACTCAAGACCCCAGCACCTCCCTGCTGGCCAGGGCCAGTGCTGGGGGCTCTCACCTTCAAAGTTCCTTTGCTGTTTCCTCCCACCTTCACGTTAATCTTGCTGCTCACGTAAAACTTTCAGGAACAGAAAAGGGAAAGACATCAGGAGGGCACAGAGGACATGCTCGTGCTGTTCTCCCTGTCCCCCTAGAAACAAGTCCCCCTCCGCTCCCCACCTCATTTCCAGAGTTTACACCTTCACGGGCACTATTTCACCTCAGCCTCCCACCGCCCTGCTGAGGAAACCCTGTCCATATTATTTCCAGATGAGGAAAGTGAAGCTCTGAAGTCAGGCGGCTCCAGATCACTCAGCCAGGAAGTCTTTCCACAGGAGGTTCAGGCATAGTGCTGGGGATGCCCAGGGTGGGTGGCTGGGAAGTTCTGGCCCAGCAGAGCAGGCCCAGGTGTCATGGAACCCAGGTGAGGGTGTGGCTCACCTGCAGCTCCTCCTCTACCCCTGGAACCTGGTGGCTGTTCAGATGCAGCACGTGGGACTTGAACCCACTGCGGCCCATGGAGCTGAGGGTCACGTTGAGCTCCCTCCCCTCAGTGGTGTGGGAAGCGATCCAGTATGCAGACAGTGCATCCAGGCCAATCACCGTGTCCTGGGAGGGTGGATCAGGACTCAGGCGCTTGGTCTCAGGACCACCCACTCCCAGAACCCCAAGGCAGCCCCTACCTGGGTGCTGCGGAATCCCCCTCGGAAGCTGCCCTGGCGGGTGAGCCAGGCTGCAGCCTGGTCAGCCATCTCTGCCCTGCCCTCCCGGAGTAGCAGGTGCAGCAGGCCGTAGGCTGTAGTTTCAATCCACACGGCCGGGGCCTGGGGCACAGGGTCTGTGGGGCTGCGCGGAGCCGGGGTGGGCGACACGACATTGCTCTGAGAAGTGATGACCGAGCCCCAGTACAGGCTATCTGGAAAGGAAGAGAGGCACACAGTGGACAGGGGCCCTGGTGGTCCAGCTCCTGCTGCCCCATCAGGCCCTCCTGGCTGCCCCAGCCATCCCCACAGGTGCTTCAATTCCTTCTTGGGTCTTGGTTTAGTTTTCCCCTTGGGCACACTCAGAGGTCCCAAGGCCCCCCAAACCCCAGGATCAATGCCAGGACCCCCTGGACTCCCACCGCCTGTCTCTTGGGCCATGGCCATGAGGTTGTTGTGGGCCACATCCCGCAGGTCCTCAGGGGCCTTGGTCAGTGTCAGAGCGTAGGCCGTGATGGCGGCTGCATGGGCACCCAGGAGCCCAGCACTTGCTTTTGGCCCCAAAAATGAGTTTGCTTTTGAGATGGAAGTTTCCTAGAAGAAAGTGGGGAGTAAGGTCTGTGGGCTGAACACCTGGGGTCCTGAGGAGCAACGGGGAGAGCTGGGTGCCAGAAGGGCAGCCACGCAGGTATCCTTACCACTCTCCGCTTCAGCTGCGCTGCACTCTCATCCTGGAAGACGGCCAGCCCATGGTGAAGGGCGATGACCACAAAGGCAGTCAGGGCCACGGTCTCGTCATTTCCTACCAAGCCCCCCTGGTTGGTGCAAGGAGAAAAGATGTCAGCCAGGAAGGGGAAGGGCCAGGAGAATTCCCACCCACACTCTTAGGCCCAGCCTCCGGCCCGCACCTGCATGCCCCTGTGGATAACTGGACAGGAGTCCTGGAATGAACCATCGGCCTGCTGCTGAGACAGCAGCCAGGTGGCTGTCTCCTGCAGCTTTTCAGGTGAGTCGCCCACCTGTTCCTGGGCCAAACTCAGTACCTTCAGCACAAACGCTGTGAGCCTAGAGAGGAAGTGACAGCTGGGGATAGGGACTGGTCCCTATAGGAAACACAGGCCCACTCCCCCAGACACCGGGTTAGTCACCCTCCCATTCCCAGCAGCCCTCCCATTCCCAGCAGCCCTCCCGTCCCCAGCAGCCCTGCCACCTCTGAGACCCAGGACCACTCCTCCCCACCTCACCAGGTGCTACTTTCCCGATGTAGCCATGCCCCATAGGAGCCATCTGATTTCCGGAACTGCTGTATCCGCATGTAGCCTTGGAGAGGAAAGGCGGCTGCTATCTGTGCCCAGGCCGTGCTCCCCATTCCCATTGGGTACCCCTCTCTTCCCCCCACTAGCCACCTGGGCTGCCCATCTTCCATTAATTGCCCGGCCCCCACTCCTGCTTGCCCTGCTCCCAGAACCTTTCTGGATCAGATCCACAGCGTGGTCCTTGGTCTCTGGGGGCAGTTTGCTCCATTGCTCTGTCTTGTCCAGGTATTGGGAAGCGGCCAGTGTTGGGGACAAGATGGTCATGGTTTGTTCCCCGCAGCCCACCGGAAGCCTCAGGAGGGAGGCCACACCTCCTGGTGACAAGGCCCCCCCAGAGCCCAAAGTGTCCAGTGGCTCTGAGGCTACAGGGGAAGGAAAGGTTAAGGATAGAGAGCAGGTCTGGGGACCCAGGGTGGGGGGGTCATGGTATCAAACAGGTTTGGCCACTGGGAAGGGACTGGAGGACACTCCCACCTGTGACCCTGACAAGGCTGTTGTGATCTCCATCAGGGATAATATTGGGATCAGAGCTGCCAGGAATTTCCAAGGTCCGGCCTCGGTGGTCTGGGAGATGAGGTAAGTAGTCAGTCTGTCCCAATGTCCACATCTCCCTCCACCTACCACTGCCTGACACTGAGGGCCGGGGGCTGGGGGTCACTCACCCAGGGGGTTGAGTTCATAGACCATCTCCTCCATGTGGATGGCCCCTTCCTTCTGTCTCGAGGGAAATAGAGCTCTGAGAGGTCACCTATCACCTGGGACTGCAGCTGCCCCTCCCAGTGCAGACTCCCCAGGACTTGGAGTTTGAGCTCCAGAGACAGAGTTGGATCAGAATTGTAGAGGACATAAAGTGATCAAGGAGTTGGGTTTGGGTATTAGGCCTCTGGCCTGGCCAGCAGAGATGGTGCCAGGGGTGAGGGGTAAATCTGGGAGCGTAAGGATCTGGCTTCAGGGGTGCTCCATTCACCTCGATTTGTAGAATCTTAGACACTGCATCCCCTACAGGGAACTCCAAGGACCCTCGAGCCACCACCTTCAGGGACACAGCAGCGGCCGCCGTGGGCACCACAGAGAAGGCAACAGGCCTGGCGGAGTGTGCAGGCACCAGCACCTGCTGGGCCAGCCCTCCACCCCCAGCCAGGCACAGCCCATCTACTGGGGAGACGTGGACGCTCATCTGGGGGCAGGAAGATGAGAATGGCCGGAGCCCAGGTCCAGTTAGGCTCTTCATCCCTTAGCTGCCCCGTTTCCCACACACCCCCTGTGCGCACAGGCTCCTGCAGGGCCTCACAGTCAGGTTCTTATCCAGGTAGTTGTAGAGGACAGGCCGTAGCTCAAGCTGCTCAAAGCGGCGAACAGAGATGGGCAGGCGGAGGTGCAGGTGAAATTCCCGGAACACCCGGAGCCGCACTGGTGTGGCCACACACAGGCCTGTGGAAGGAGAATGTGGGGAAAGGGAGAGATATCAGAGGCCTGGGGGCATCACAGGCCAGGGTCCCACTAGGGAGGGGCAGGGGTGACCCATCTCTGCCCAGCTCTCTGGCCTCCCAGCCCCGGAGCGGGCAGCACAGACTTCCCCTGCTGTCTGCAACCCCTTCCTTGCAGTAAGAGAAAAGGGAGCTGGGTCGAGGGGGGATGGAAGAGGCTGGGGCATGGCCACTTCACCTGTTGTTTTGGACAGGCTCACGCCATGGATCTCCCATGTGGTCAGAGAGTCAGGAAGCATCAATGGCAATCTGTGGTGGGAAAGGTGAGCAGCCTGTCACAGCTGGGCTGGCCCCAGGCACTCCCCCAGACAGGCCGGCCCACCACACGCCCTCACTGGAGGAAGTGGTCCACGAGGTCCACTCTCCAGAGCCAGTTCTCCGGGAAGAAGCTGCGCACAGGAATGTCGTCTTCGTCTATCAGGTCCTCCTCCTGCAGGATCTCCAGAGCTGGGGGCCACAGTGGAGGGGGTGAAGAGGAGCCGCTATGCCCTCCCAGGTTCCTCCACCTGTCCTCCAGTCCCACCCAGTGGCTCACCTCGGGCAAGGCCAACCTGGCCCCTGACCCGGGTCTTCTTGCGCAGGCCCTCAGCGAACTGGCAGCAGGACAGGAAGGGCTCCCGGCAGGCCAGCTGCGGCACACGGGCCGCTCGCTGCTCACAGGAGAGGATCATGGGCAGCCGCGTCAGCCCATCCTGGCAGCAACGCTTGGCTACTGGGGAAGTGTACTGGCCCACTGCAGGGCCCCAGAGGGTGAGCACAGGGGACATACCTCCCAACTCTGACCTCCAGATACACAGGGCCCACCCTGGGAAACCAGGAACTCAAGAGAGGCCAGGGAGGAGCCTCCTGCTCAGCCACCACCAACTCTAGGACTTGGATCTCTGGCCCCGAATACCATGTACTGGTCCCTCGGGAGCAGAGCAGCCAGGACACAGACCCCTCCTCCTGACCCTTGGGCCCCAGTGGAGAGCTTCATCAGCACCCACAACTCACACTTCTCATTAACTGCCTTCTGGAAGTTCACACTTCGCTTTCTCCGGGTTTTCTTCTCCTTGGGACAACTCAGACCTGGTGAGAGCAGGACTGAAGCCAAGCTCTGGGGTGTGCAGCTTCCCACCTCCCTTCCCTTCTCCCCCTCCTCCTATCTTACCCCTCCAGGCACCTCCTCCTCCCTTACCCTCCCACCTCCCACCCCACTTCCTCCTCTGGTCTCACTCTTTCTGACTGAGGTCCACTGGTTTCCATCAGAAAAGGCCAGACCAGCTGCCTCAAACACCTGCAGGGCACTGTCTCCGCCCCCAGGACCACAGCTGAGGTCATAGCTGTTCATGACTTCGAAGACCTGGTAAGAAAAAGTAAGGCAGTTGCAAAGACAAGACTGGCTAAGGAGTAGGATTGGCTGTGGGTGAGAGGGCAGGGGATGGATAAATATGAGAGACACAGACAGCAGGGAAATAAGACCACAGGGTCCACAGCTTGAGGGAGGCTGGGAGGGGCTGGCGGGCAGCCTAAGTGAGGTCCAGCAGCCGGGCCCCAGGCTCAGGGCTCCAGGCTCCGGGCAGCAGAAGAATGAATCACAGAGGACGAGGGAGGGCTGGGAGGAGGGTCTTAACAAACCTTGCCCATGTCCAGGGGCTTGTGGGACCTGCCACCCACGGCATACAGAGCGGTGTCCACAGCTCCCAGGGCCACCTGGGCCAGAGAATCTGTGCGCAGCTGGAGCTTCACTGTCTCCCCAGGGCGGTAGTCCTTGTGGCTGTCCACACTCAGCTCCAGCTAGCAGAGGCAGAGTTGGGGCACTATGAGTGGGGAAAGCTTCTTTTCCTCTTTCTCTTAACTGCCACCCCATGTCTCCTGATGTGTTACCTTGCCCTCACAGGTCCCGGCCTGGACGAACACTCGCAGGGAGTTGGCCACTGGGACACCCCCATGATAGTAGAAGGCCACAAAGTAGAAGGAGGGTGCCAGGTGGTGGTTCACAAACACGGAAACCGAGGTCAGGGCGCTCCTGGGCTCTCGGCCCACAGACATGATCTGGCCCCGGGACAGGATCTGGGACAAGAATGGTTCCCTTTTCACTGTACATCCCCAGCCCCGAAACCACTCCTCACCCACGGGGTCCTTCCTGCCTGAGCCCTCCCTGCACCCTGCCCTCCTCTACAGCCCAGCTCATGCACACCAGGTAGTAGTAGTGAGAGAAGCTGGCCTCACTGACGCCCACGGCCCGCAGGTTCAGGCTAAAAGTGTCCCCAACTCGAGGGGGTTGAGGATCCAGCCGTTCAATGGACAGAAACCCGGAGCTTCCTGAGCGTGGGGCTCTCACAGTGAGCTTGGCTGTGGCTGGATGGGGGGAGCCTGCAGACACCTGAGGAAGGGGAGGGGGTGGGAACAGCAGGGTCAGTGGCAGGGACCCAGGCACCCAGCCTATCCCTCAACCTGGGCCCTGGGTGCTCAGGAGGCCAGCCTGCCCTTCTCTCCACCCCACGCTCCCCACGGGTCGGAGCCCCACCAAGAGCTGCACTTCCGAGGCGGCCTGAGGTACGACAATGGGAACAACAGCTTGGCCACTCCCGTCTGTGTTCTGCTGAAAGTCACGCACTTCAGAAGCAGACACAGGAGAGAACGTGGCAGCAACTTTGACAGGAATGCCAGGGGCTGGGGAGCCTGACATGTCTCGGACCAGGGCCTAGGTGGGGAGGGGCAGGTCAAAAAGAGTGGTCAGAGGGCCTTGGACCCTCCTGATGAACACCTTCCCCCACCCCTCCCTGCGCAGAAGAAACCTGCAGCAGAAAGGGGGCCCCAGGCACGAGGTGTCGCTTGGTGTGGCTCAGATCCAAGGAGAAGGGAGATGACACAAAACGCCAGGATGTGAGCTCTGCCTCCTCCATCTCTCCCCCTGCAAGACATGGGGCAGAGACAGGTGGAGGAGGGAGACCCAGGGAGAGGGGCTGGAGGGAGGAGAAGGGGCTCAAGTGCTGCCTGCCCACAAGTCAGTGAGCTCCTCGGGGCACAGGCCGTCTCCCCTTCATTTCTATGTTTGCTGAGCAACAGAGGACCCAGCACACAGATGGCACCTAACATGGGTCTGCTGGATGAATGGGTGGAAGCACAGACAAATGGACAGATGAGAAGGAAGAAAAACAGATTGGAGGAAGGTGCTGCTTCCCCAGAAACCACCCAGAAGCACAGCTGGACAGAGACAGTCTCCTGGGTCTTTCCTGGCTTTGGGCCCCAGGTGAGGGTAAGAAAGGTTGGAGGACGGGGTGGGTACTGGAGCATAGGGGTCAGCTCAGGTCAGAGGGTAGGGTCTGGGCCATAATCCCGCGAAGCCCTCACCTGGAGATTCAATGACGGCAGCTGCCACATAGAGGCGCAGCCCTGGGAGGTCAGGCAGGTGGATGCTAAGCTTCTCCAGGGCGCCCTGAACCTCAGCCTCTGAGAGGGAGATGTGGCACTGGCCCTCGGCCAGCTGCGGCAACAAAACAGGACCTAGGTGACTACCTGAGTCTCCCACCCACCTCTTCTCTCTCACATTCCTCACCCCCCACCCAACCCCACCCTCCCTCCTACCTTGGTCTGAGTCTCCAGCCCCCGAAGGAAAGTCTTGTCACCATTCTCATCCAGGAGCCCAAAGCGCACATACGCCACCCCTTGCACTGGCTTCCCATAGATGTACCTGTGGCCACAGAAAGATTGGGAAGAGGAAATGATGGGATGGTCAGTGAGGGAGGGGGTTGGGGGCGGGAGGGGAGTGACGTTTATACTGAAGGGGGAGCCCTGGGAGAAGTTACCTGGCCTGGATGTCTAACTGGATGTCACCAAGAATGCCAGGTGCTGTCAGGATGTAGGGCTCTCCAGGGATGATCTTTACTTCAAAGTTGGGAAGGACTGGCCCAGGGCAAAGGGGTAGGCAGGTCAGACTCTACTGGAAGGTCCTTTAAAGGACTCCCTCCTCAGGGCGGTGGCACCCATGTCTCCCAGTCCCTGTTCTGCTTCTACCACCTCTCCTTTCGCTCTCACTCCTTCATGAAAGGAGCTGCTTGGTCCTCATGTCCCCAGCTCTTACCATATTTCTTCACCTCGAACTGGGTGCTTCTGTTGGATTCTAGGCCATCTGAGAATCTAGCTGAGATCTTCCAAGTCCCTGGCCTGAGGACAGACAGGGAGGGAGTCAGCCCGCTTGTCCAACCAAGAAGGGCTTATGAGAGCCAGCCACCCAGCTCCCTAGGAAAGGACTGGGGTAAACCAGAGGCTCGGGAGCTCAGGTCTGACACTGTGTTGGAGTGGGGAGCAGGGAACTGGGGGTTGGGGTGGTGTAGTGGGAGAGCTCACTCTGAGATGTCCGGGATCACAAAGTCATCCTGGAAGATGGATGAGGGAGCGTACACCTGCCTCTTCCGCACACGGAGGCCGTGAGAGTTCTGCAATGGGAGGAAAGGTGGTCATGGGTGAGAGGTCCAATCAGTGGCCCAAGCTGATCAGGGAGGTCAGGGGTCAGGGACTCACCTCCACAGTGACCGTAAGGCTGTCCGTGGATGGGCGCATCTTTTGATCCAGAGCAAAGACCCGGTACCGTACTGGAGTGGAGGGTGAGCCGCGAGAAGCATCCATGTGGGCAGGGAGTGAGGGAAGAACCAACATTCGTCAGAACCTTCCTGAGCGACACTTTCAGGTCACCTCGCAGAGGGGGAAGAGGTTGGGAGGGAGTTCAAAGGAGAGGCCCTGAGGCTGAGACTCACCCCGCTGGCCAGGGTTATAAATGGGCTGGTCGGTCTGCAGAAAAAGGTGTCCCCGGCGAGAGGAAAAGAGCAGGTTGATGCCCTGAATGTCTACTTCCTTGGACAGCGTGCTCTTCAGCCATGGTGACTTGGCCACCAGCTGGACCTGGGGGCCTCCAAGGAGGCTTTTGAGGCCACAGCGCTCAGCATCTTTCGGGAGTATCTGTCAGGAGAGGCAGAGGGGAAGGGAGTGGGTCAGAGACAGAGCAGGAGAAAGCCAGAGAGGCTGAGACAGAAAAGGGAAGGAGGCCAGGAGAAGACAGACGTTTACAGAAGACTGAGGGGACGGGGGTGGGGTGGGGGGCAGGGTGCTAAGACCAGCAGGACCCAGTGGCGTCCAGCTACCTGGAGGCTGAGGAGAATGAAGTCTTTTTCCGAGGTGAGGAGGAAGTCCACCTTTGAGGAGCAGGAGACCTGAAGATGGTACGGGTTTCTCAGGAACACTGATCCTTTCACTTCCTGTCCCCGGGGAGCATCCTGGAGCTGCAGCCCCACTGACAGGGGGGCCCCCAGGTGAACCACGGAAGGAGAAAACAGGAGCAACCTGGGGAGAACAGGCAGGGTCAGCAATGGGCCTCCACTCGACCCTCCACCCCCACCCTGCTCAGAACCCTGCCTCCAGGACCTGGGTTTCTGCAGAGACAAGGCAAAGAAGCTGGATGCCCACATCAGCCCCCAGAGGAGCCTCATGGCTGGAAGACCCAAACGGGATCAGACCCTTCTGTCTGTCTGCTCCTTTCTGGTCAAATTCAGACTTGGAGCAGAGTTGACTCTGGACCTTGCTCCTCCCCTGGCCCAGCTAAGCCGGGAAACCACGTGACAGCCAAGAAATGCAACTGGCCCCAGGCCCAGTGTTGGGGGTGGGGGGACACCCCAGACACCTGGGTCTCTGAAGAAATCATGCCCTAGAGATCCTGTCCCCCGTTAACCCCTCTCATCCCAGTGCCAGAGCACCTCCCCTACTGGGCATGTTGGGGGGGGGGGTTCAAGCTCAGTCTACCTGGGTAGAGGCCCTGCTTGGAGAAATAGGATCCTTTGTCCAAGCCAACAAACAAGGTGATAAGACACTAGCCTCTCACTGTAACCCCGCAAACACTGAACTACATTAGGCCTTTGCTTTCCCCAGGCCCTGACAGGAACTCGTGGTTTAGACGAGGCACACCCTCACCACCCCATAGGGAGAAAGGACCCCAACGCTTTTCTTCTCTGAACAAGGCCAAGTTTAGGCCCAACTGTGGCTTCATCATCACATTCAACAGGACACCAGGAAAGAGCACCAGCAGAAGTACTTTATTTGGCAGTTTCAACCCCTGCCCTCCCTCACCAGCCTCCTCAGAAGCCACACCCTCCTAACCCAAGACGGAACAGCAGCACCTTGCTGCAGGAGAGGCGGCAGTCATGGCCTTGGCACCACTCCTGGCTCCACTTCCACAGGACAAAGCAGCATGGCCTGAACCCCACCACTGGCTAGGAGCCCAGGTCAACAGCAGCAGTCACGTCTGACATCGTACGCCCACAAGTCCAACAGTCATCATCCTGGCCCAAGCTTTCCCAAGGTGACCCTGCCTCAGCCACCACCAGGCAACACTCCTGGGCCCCTTGCTCCGCTCTGGGGCGGTCTGCCATGGTGAATAGAATCCTCACGTCTCTGGCAGGCGCAGAAGGGTTCCAGAAGTGGTAGAGACACTGTGTGAGAGAAAGACACGGTTGGATCCAGACACGTAGGCCCAAGGTCTGGGGAGAACTCAGAACTTGGCCAGGGATGTTTCAGGTTCCAGAGGAGAGAGGAGCTGGGCTTCCCTAGTGAAGGAAGCAAGAATGGGGAGGAAACCCAAGTTTGCTCTGGAACACTGCTCTGTCAACTGCCAGAGGCTGGGGGCAAGACTCACCAGTCCACCAACTGGGCCCCAATGAGGTCGTGCACATGGTAGGCAAGGCCGAGTCTCACCGAGGCAGGCGCCTGCCGGCCCAGGAGCTCCGATAGGAGTAGCTCCCGGTACTTGGCCTTCCGGACCATGCCAAGGACAGACTGGCGCCCTGGAGGAGAAGTGGCACAGGAGTAGGGAGTAAGGCCTGCAGGCCAGAGGAGCCACTGAAAGGTGTTCCTAAGGGGCTGAGGGCTTGCCCTGCAGATAGGATACCTTTAACAAAACATTTAATGAATCTCCCAGCTCCAGGCACGGCCAGCCACCAACTCCCAGCATCTCGGACAGTGAGGACTCCGGAGTTTACCAGCTGCCTAAGTGGGTAGGAAGCCAAGAGAGATGAGGCCTTGGCTTTGAGAATCCTGTCTCCTCCCTGCCTGCTAATGTTTGAAAACATGGGCAACCAGGCAAAAGGACCAGATAACAGACACCCCCTCCCCTGCCCCTGCCCAGCAGTTCTCTAGTCCCATTTGCCTACCCAACTGCCCTCCCCCAACTCTCTTTTCCTGCTACTTATTCCCTAAAACCAGTCTTGGAAGCCCTCCCTGACCACAAGGCCTGGCACATGTTCAGTACCCCCCACCAGGGAGAAATTACGGTCTTCTTTCTGTGATCCTGCCACTGCCTACGCACACACCTCAGCACAGCTCCTCCACATCTACCACAAAGAAGCCCACAAAATGCCTTCACATATACCATGCGTTACAAAGCAGGGAGCCCGAGCCAGGACAGCCCCTGCAGACACCTCCTCTCACCCACGCTGGCTGTGCTCCTGTGAGCGCTTCAGCTCCCGCCACGCCCGTGCTCAGTCTCAGCACGGTTCACCTCGGGCATTCGTGGTCCCTACCAGGCCTCTACATGCATCTGATTAGCCACCCAGGTAGCCTGAATCTTAGTCCAGGGCCCTTTCCTAGGCCCCAGGTAAGACAGGCCTCCTCTCTTGGGGGAAGGATACAAATTTAGATCATTTTACTTAAAAAAAAAAAAAAAAAGAGTCAACCTTTTGGGCAGGTTCAGCCAAAGGAAAAGGACAAAGCTGGGTGGGAGGCGGGGGTGCCAGGCGGCTGCTCTGACTGGTCCCCCAAATCTCACGTGATCTCTGTGTCCCTGAAGCCAAAGGTCTGTGTCATTTGGTGCTGCTGAAAGCTAAGGTCCCCACAGGCTGGAAGCACCAAAGTCAGAAACTTCTGCACAGCCCCAGCATAAGGTCGGCCAGTGCAGGCCTTGAGGACCTGGAACCAGAGACGAAAGGCTGGTCTGGCCCTTCCCTCACCCCCCGGGGACCTCCTCCCCAGGACACTTCTCTGCACATGGGAGGCAGGGCCCTTCTCAGTTCTTCCCACCTCTCATGCCTTTCCCCTTCCTCCCTCCCCTCTCCCTCCTATGACTACTTACCAAAGCCCTCTGCCCTCTGTGAGGTGTGGAGTGGGAAAACTGCCTCTTTTCTTTTTATTTCCTTTCCCCAGTTTCCCTGCCTCCCCCCTTCCGCCTCCCCCCAACAACAGTCCAACGCACTCTGGCCCTGTAGTCCTCGGTGAGAATAATCCCATGGGCATCCAGGTCGAAGCCGAGCTGGACGACTCTGATCTCCCCCTGTTCCTGAAGTTCTTTCTGTCTCCAAAAGATGGGAGTGAAAAGAAGGGTGTCAGGGTAAGATGCTCTCTCTGCCACACTCTGGGCACTCTGCCCACATTGCAGAGTTTTTCTCTAAGTAAAGGGAAAACTGTGGGGAGAGAATCAGGTGAATCACCAAATAGTCTTTTCCAATCGGTTACCCACCCTCCCATCCACCTACCTTCTCTGTGTGTCAAACTATCAGTATACATTTTTAAAGACCAATCGTATGTCAGACACTAAGAGAAAATAGTGATTAAGACATGGACCCTGCCCTCAAGGAATTAAGAGTCTAGACTTTGGGTAGAGAAAAGTGGGGAAGAATATGGGATAAAATGTTCAAAACAAATAAAAATCAACCAGGACTAGTGTTTCCAAAAACACAGCAAGAACCAATTCACCTACTGAAAATTAAAATGCTAGCCCGGCCAGGTGTGGCTCAGCGGTTGAGCGTCGACCTAGGATCCAGGCGATGCGGGTTCGATTCCTGGTCAGGGCACATGCCCAGGTTGTGGGCTCGATCAATGACTCTCTCATCATTGATGTTTCTATCTCTGTCTCTCCCTCNNTTTAAAACTGTTGGAGAGATTAAAAATGGCGGCGGGTTGAATGGAAGCAACACTGACACTCTCCCGGGGCCAAACTGGAATGACAACTAAAACATAGAAAAATCTACCCTGAATAATCAACTGCACCTGAAGACGAGCTGGAGAGCACCCCCATAACCAAGGAGGAAAAGGGGAGTTCCCATAGAGACGTGTAGAGGCGAGAGACGACAGGCAGAAGCTGAAGGTCCGGAGGGATATCTCAGCTGTGGGGGGTTCCCACTGAGGCCTCTGGGGCCTAAACCCCTGGCGGGGCTCCCCAGCCCAGAGCACCAGAACCGAGAAAGGTGCCCACATAACATCTGGCTGCGAAAAGCAGTCGGGTTTCTGTCTGCCAGGGAGAGGCAGCTGGAACTGCAGGCACGTTCTTAAAGGGCCAACACAAAGTTTCTGTGCAGCCACTCACCTCGGGCTCTGGCGGAGGGAGGGCAGAGTAGACTAGAGCTGTGTGGGGAGAATCTAGGGTTGTGGGCTCTGAAGATAAAGCTCAGAGGGCACCCCTCTAGATTCCCATACCGAGTCATTCCCCCATACTGCAGAGGCAGACATTTACCTTCTAAGCGGCTTTTGCCTGAGGGGGAAGCAATTGCCCCAACCTGCTGGAAAACCTCTTGCCCAACCCCGTGGAGTTTCTACAGCCTGAGGCTCATTAAGGAATCAGATTAATCAGCCTGCAGGCAGAGGCAGACTCCAGAGTGCTTTGAGTCTTTGCCTGATCTGCTTCTGGAACCCGGCCTTGGAAAAGCAGACTTTGGTGTGCATCTTAGTCCTGCCCAAATGGACCCAGCCCCAACAGAGGGGACCTCAAGCCTTGGGTTGCTGAGAGCTCCAAATAGGGTCACAAACAGAGTCTGACAATGGCCTGCATGAGAGATCTTCCAAAAAGACTGAGGGTCCTAGCCTGCCTACCTAATGCATAGAAACAAACCCAAATAGGCAGCCAAAATGTAGAGACAAAAAAACAAGCCCCAAATGAAAGAACAAGAGAAGTCTCCAGAAAAAGAGCTAAATGAAATGGAGATAAGCAATCTATCAGATATAGAGTTCAGAATACTGATTGTAAGGATGCTCAACAGCATGAGAAAAGATATGGAAACTATGAAGGAAACTGAGAATGACACAGCAGAAATAAAGAATACATTGGAAGGGCCCAGCTGGCATGGCTCAGTTGTTGAGCATCGACCTGTGATCCAGGAGATAGTGGTTTGATTCCCGGTCAGGGCACATGCCTGTGTTGCTTGCAGGAGGTGGCCGATCAATGACTCTCTCTCATCACTGATGCTGCTATCTCTCTCTCCCTCTCCCTTCCTCTCTCTCTCTGAAACCAATAGAAATATATTTTTAAAAAAAGAACATACTGGAAGGAATAAACAGCAGATTAGAGGAAGGTGAGCATTGGATCAGTGAATTAGAACACAGAGTAGGAAAAAAATCAGTGAGACATCCAAAAAGAAAAACTATTAAAAAACAGGAGGCCTGGCTGAGTGTGGCTCAGCAGTCGAGTGTTGACCTATGATCCAGGAGATTGTGGTTTGATTCCCGGTGAGGGCACATACTTTGGTTTCGGGCTCAATCTCTAGCTGGGGAGACCTGCAGGAGACAGCCTATCAGTGACTCTCTCATCATTGTTTCTATCTGTCTCTGAAATCAATGAAGATATATTTTAAACACACACACACACATACACACACACACACACAAAAAACAGGACAGTCTAAGGGAACTGTGGTACAACATGAAACATAACAATATTCACGTCATTGGAGTGCCAGAGGAGGTTGAAAGTGAGCAGGGGTTAGAGAACCTGTTTGAAGAAATAATGGTAGAAAACTTCCCTAACCTGGTGAAGGAAAAAGTCACACAAGTTCAGGAGGCACAGAGAGTCCCAAGCAAGAAGAATCCAGAGGCCCACACCCAGACACATCATAATTAAAATGCCAAAAATTCAAGACAAAGAGAGAATATTAAAGGCAAGTGAAAAGCAATGTTACCTACAAAGGAGCTCCCATAAGGCTGTCAGCTGACTTATCAGAAACTCTACAGGCCAGAAGGGAATGGCATTAAGTATTCAATGTAATGAAAAGCAAGGATCTGAAACCAAGCCTACCCTATCCAGCAAGGATATCATTCAAAATAGATGGTGAAATTAAGAGCTTCCCAGACAAAAAAAGGCTAAAGGAGTTTATCACCACCAAACCAGCATGACAGGAAATGTTAAAGGGACTGCTGTAATAATAAGAAGAAATAGAAACATAGGCATAAAGAATTAAAATGGCGCCCGACCGGGCGTGGCTCAGTGGTTGAGCGTTGACCTAGGATCCAGGCCATCAGGGTTCGATTCCTGGTCAGGGCACATGCCCAGGTTGTGGGCTCAATCAGTGACTCTCTCATCATTGATGTTTCTATCTCTCTCTCCCCCTCTCCTTTCCTCTCTCTGAAATCAATAAAGACATATTTAAAAAAAAAAAATTTAAATGGCAATAAATAAGGGCCTATCAATAACAACCTTAAGGACTTTAAGGGAGAGATCAACAGCAATACAGCCATAGTTGTGGACTTTAACACCCCACTGACTGACTTCACTGGATAGATCTTCCAGACAAAAAGTCAATACTATCTAACCCAACAACTTAAAAGTATTAGAAAGTGCCCCTCTGAAGCAGTCTGGACCAGGGCTTTTGTTTGCTGGGAGTTTTTCTTATTACTGCTTCAATTTCATCAGTTGTTAATGGCCTGTTCAAGTTTTCTGATTCTTCCTCATTCAGTTTTACATGATCTCACTCATACGTGGAATCTAATAAACAAAATAGACTGAGGAACAAAACAGATCCAGAGACATAGAAGCATGGAACAGATGCATGAATCTCAGTGGGAAGGCGGGGGTGGGAGAGTGGGTGGGGAGAGATTAATCAAAGAACTTATATGCATATATGCATAACCCATGGACACAGACAATAGTGTGGTGAAGACCTGNACACTTTCAACAATAAAGATAAATCAAAACACACACACACACAGAGAAAACCTGTTAAGCATCAAAGAGCTCACAAGATAATATGTGAACAAAAGAATTCACAGAAGTGGTTAAAGCATCAGCCTGCACACTGAAGGGTCACCAGTTCAATTCCAGGTCAAGGGCATATACCTGGGTTGCAGGTTCAATCCCGGAAGGAGGCAACCAATCAATGTGTCTCTCTCACATCCATGTTTCTCTCTTTCTCTCTCTCTCCCTCCCTCCCTTCCACTCTCTCTAAAAATAAATGGGAGACCGTCTGGCATAGCTCAGTAGTTGAGTATTGACCTTTGATCCAGGAGAATGCGGTTTGATTTCCGGTCAGGGCTCAATCCCCAGTAGGGGGAAGGCAGGAGGCAACCAATCATTGACTCTCTCATCCTTGATGTTTCTCTCTCTCCCTCCCTCCCCCCC